AGAATGAAGGCATTATGTCATGGTCAATTATACCAAAAGAGAATGAAGAAAGATTTTGATAAGAAGGTCAACCCTTGTGAATTCAGAGAAGGTGACCTCGTGCTCAAGGAGATCATGTCTCTCAACACCGATTCTAGGGGAAAGTGGACTCCCAATTTTGAAGGCCCATATGTTGTCAAGAAAGCCTTCTCTGGCGGTGCATTGATTATTGAAACAATGGATGGTGAAGAGTTCCCACGTCTGTGAATGCTAATGCAGTCAAGAAATACTTCGCCTAGAAAAATAAAAGAATAGCTCGCTAAGACGAAAACCCGAAAGGTCGGCTTAGGCAAATAAACAGCGTCTCGGTAGGCCGAAAACCCGAAAGGGCGGTCTAGGAAAAAATTAGAGACATAAACAGAATAAATTTTCATGGTAGGTTGAAAACCTACAAGGGCGGCCTAGTCAAAAGTTAGGGATTTTTTCTGGCAAGTAACTACATCATACAAGACTTGATCATTGGAGCAACAATCTGCTTGGATCTTGATACTCTTCAACCAAAGTTTCGGCTCGGAAATTCAAAGTTGCTAGAGAGAATGGTGGTCATTGTAATTCAATGTATCTTTTCTAATATATATTACTATGTTTCAAGCTTTGTAATCATCCATGGAGTCTTGCCATTAGAAGGCTACCATTCTATTAATAAAATTTGAGCCTTTTATCCAATTCTTTACATTTCTTATTTTATTCAGCTTATAAAGATTTCATTTATTATTGATAGTAATGATCAAAGCAAACAGATTAAATAACAAAATTATTTTTGAAAAGAATTTACAAAGTACTTTAAATTTTATGGTTCAAGGAGGACAAAATTAGTGATCTCAGGGACGGATAAAACTCAAAGGTTTGTATAAAATGAGGACTCTATCCAAGTTTCCCCAATGAAAGTTTTACTCATTTGGTAAAAAGTTTTGTCTCCCTGTACTTGTTGAGTTTGGACTCATTTATAAAGCGTCTCCTTTCGGTAGCATTGGCCTTTTGTTTATCTGCTCGGAATCCAGGAAATGGCAGTATTTTTATTAAAGAAGTGGTGAATTGGTTATCAACCGTTTGGGTTTTTCTCCCGCCAAGTGCGGGTCTGGATTTAAAATCCCCATAAGTGTCTTGCTGTAGTGTTTGATTTCTTGAATTCCTCAAGTGAAGTTAAGATGATATATTTTTTGAAATTGTTGCCCTGTGGGGTTTTCGTACTTTCTCCTTGGAGAAGTTGGTGCACTTATCACTCTCGTTATTGAAGATGCATCTTGAAGTATTCTTCGCCAATATGGTATTATCCTCCCCATTAAAGTCAATATGCTACCCCAATTGTTGTCTCAACAAGATGTTTTTGTTCTTTTCTAGTGAAATCAACCCCGTCAGAAATTTAAACTTCCAACTCTCTTTTGATGTCCATTTTGTTAGGTTTCCAGTTAAATCTCAGAGGAAAATGTTATATCGATGTTTAAATTAATATTGTTGTCCCCCCAGTAAAGTTAAGCTATGAAGTAGGAGTTTGTTCCTCAGTTGGTGCTTACTTTTTTTATGGAAATTTTGTCCTAGTTATGATTTAGCCGAGTATTGATTATACTCATTTGTGGCCCTGCATATTTATCCTCAGTATTTTGTGTCTGTTTTATCAGCATACGTGGTGACATTCATACATTCACACATACATATGCATGTTTGAATTTAGAAGATCATTACTCATTTGCATTCATTGACATGTTGCTAACATATTACCCCATTTTGCGGAGTTGTGTTACACTCTCTCCAATAGATTGTCAACCTTAAGCAGAAAGTGTATATTCTTTTTGAAATTACCCGTTGAGTTATCCCTCATGGGAGAATTTTGTTTCAGTCGTCTTTTCAGCTTGCTTCCCGGATAGGATGGAATTTCCCTCTTGAGTTTATTTCTCAGAAAGATGTATTTTGGTTAACTACTTCATTCCGGTTTATTTCTGGTTGGAGTGGATACCCTCAGCAAAATTATTATTCGGGTTCCCGCAAGCTTCGGGCCCTAGTTTGAGAGTGTGATTTTATTTTTCACAAGAAATTTCTATAGGAATTGTATTGGCATTTATCTAGGAAGTTTTTTTTCTTCAGAGAATCATTATTGCAATTCCTACTCATAACAACAAATAACATGTCTCTTTATTTGAGCAACCTGTATTTCCCCAGTGAATCTGATGGCTCCCAGAGAAAATTCGGATTTTGTTACTCCAATGGATGGTAGCCTTGTCATTATGGAAGGTAGTCTGTTGTTGAGATGTTTTTACTCCAATCGATGTTAGCTTTGTCATTATAGAAGGTAGTTTGTTGTTGAGATGTTGTTACTCCAATGGATGGTAGCCTTGTCATTATGGAAGGTAGTCTGTTGTTGAGATGTTGTTACTCCAATGGGTGGTAGCCTTGTCATTATGGAAGGTAGTCTGTTGTTGAGATGTTATTACTCCAATAGATGGTAGCCTTGTCATTATGGAAGGTAGTCTGTTGTTGAGATGTTGTTACTCCAATGGATGGTAGCCTTGTCATTATGGAAGGTAGTCTGTTGTTGAGTTGTTGTTACTCTAATGGATGGTAGCCTTGTCATTATGGAAGGTAGTCTATTGCTGGAAAAAAAATTTCCTGATGGATGGTAGCCTTGTCATTATGAAAGGTAGTTCGTCGTTGAGATTCTGTTACTGATTAGAAGTTTATCTACGCAGTCATGAATACTGGGTACATTTTGAGATTTACTGGTATTATCTCACCATTCTTTTCCCCATTGGGACGACGTTACCTTTTTTGCTATCCCCTCAGTGAGTTGGTAGTTCACAATTATTTGTCGGTCACCGTTATCCTTCACTCTCTCTCCTCATTTTTTGAGTTGACGATGCTTTAGATTCTCTCTTGGGCATTAACCCAGCAGCGTCTCGACTTTTCTTCACCAGTGATTCATTTTCCTGGTCAAGTTTTCCTTTTGTTTCCTCTTTTACCTTTTTACATCCCCAGTGGTGTCTTGCATCCCTTTAGTTTTGTTCATCTGCAGTCATAATTATAAGCATTGCATGGTATCTTAGGGCCGAAAATAGGGCTTAATTTATATTTAAGTATCTTCAATTGCGTCGACACGAAGATTTTAACCTTCGTATCTCCGGATAGAAGATACTTAATTAAAGGCAGCTGTTGTACCCCAATTTTCCCCCCTAAGATTTCTTCATCATATCATATCAATTCAATCACAACAAAGTCACACACTAGGATTTGTTTCCTCTCCATATCTTTGGTCTTGCTCTATGGGGAATCACTAAGCACATTGACTTGTATTTTGTGACCATCTAATATTTTTTATTACTCTTTAACTAACAAATACAATGTATGTGTATCCTAATTGTTGATGATGTAGGTGAAAGTACAATGCATTCCATCAAAGTCAGCTTTTGGATTCATGAGTTCCTTCTTTGTACCTTCCTCAACAAAGTTTCATTGGGATTCAAGCCTCTATGAAAGATACTTTGGAGTAACATCATGACAAAGTCTTTCATGATTCATTATGCCTTAAGTTGTCAAATTTAGCTCAAAAGTACAAGGATTGGCTAAAGAAGTTTGACTCAATTGGACAAATCTTTGATTTTAATGATCACAAGTGCATATCTCCTTCAATTCTCAAGATTTGGAAATGCTTTTGGTTGCAATGGTTTCTCCTTAATATCCTCAACAACTTATAATCACATGAAAAAAGTATTTGTGCAAGAAGGTTGATCAAAATTGCAAATATTTCTCAAGGAATTTTGTTACTCTAGGAGTTAGGGTTTTGAACTTCAAAGGGGTATATATTGCTCATCTTTTGGTATTTTTGATTGATTCCAAAGACATCCTTCTCTTTAAAGGGTTATTAACAAATCACTTCAAAAGTCTTAAGGAAATTTTGTGTGTAAGGAACTTGATGATGAAGAAAGATTACAAGTCCTCAAGATGAACCTTCAAATCCCTTTATGTGACTTCAAATGATCATAACTTGATCCATTTTCATCACCTTGAACCCATTATTTTTCCATAATGATCTTGAATGTGTGAACTTCAACCCATCTTCAAAGTGTAAAGTGTAAAAATGAATGAAAGATGCCCTAAGAATACAAAAAATTATAGGTTATTTCATAAATTTTTGCCAACTTCAACAAGTCATAACCAGAATGAATAAAATCACTTTAGTGCATGCAGTTGTAGTAGTACATGTAATCTGACTTCTCTAACTTTCCTCCATCATATCACTTTTCTAACCTCTGCTTTCCCATAATACTTTGTCCTCTCTCTCTCTTATCTTCTTATATCTTTCTATTTCCATACTTCAAACTAGCATACTTTCACTCCATTCCAACAACTACCTAACTTCAAGTTCCTTCACTTTTTATGTAAGTGTTTCTTTCCACTTATCACATCAACTACTTCAAACATGCATTTCATTTTTACTTACTTTTTTTCTAATTGTGGAAACGGTGCTTCTGGTGATTATTTTTGTTGATGTCAATTTGCTTATTGAGTACAAAAATTAGATCTAAGATAGTAAATATTTGTTTTCTAATTCCTTTAGTAGTTGTAGTTTTAATCTCTTAAGTGCGTTTTTGGTAGTTTGATGTTTCATTTGAAAGATGCTTGAACTATGAACTTAGAAATAAGCTGGAAAAAAATCAATTCTTAAAAAAAATCATGGTTTGGGAAGGATATATAACTCCGAAACTTGTGATTGATGAAGGGTAAATACATCTAGGTCATATCAATAAAAGATTGTAATGCTAGTTTTTACTTCATGATTTTATTTTTTTAGGGAAATTAGCACTTAATGCTAATAAGCACTTTGTTAGTACCTATTTGGATAAACAAAATTATATGCTTGTAGCATAAGTGCTTATATATTAATGCACTTAATCAATAATGCAGGTGATTATTTGTTGCATTCCAATTGTTAATTAGGATAAGCAGATTTCATATTTGATAACAACGCAATGATTCCGAATTTGAACTTGGAAGCTGAAAATAGTTTAGAAGAAAGTAGCCAAGTAGGTTCCAACATTTACTTACAAGAAACAACATCTTATGATGTTACCAAAGACAGTGCAACAACTTCCTGTCTTACAAATCTTCCAGATTCTGTGTCCCTTGACCTGACTCTCACATTCGATCCGAGCGACGAAGAATTCAAGGAAACAAGCAACACGAACAGCGAAATAGTAGGAGCTAATCAGGCTAATATCACCACCGCGTCAGCGCCACTGGTTCATAGAGTTTTCTCTTGTAGCAATAGCAACAAAACCTCCTCAACAAACATCTACTGTATCTCCTAATCTCACTCTCAGGCTTTAAGATTTTTGTGGCAATAAATAACTATATGTCATGTTCATTCTCTTTGGACATGAAATTACTAATTTATAACTGTGCTTGAATTGTAGAGTGAGATGCGTTTCTCTAATGACATGTTTATTTCTTTTGAAGTTTTCAGTCATAATTGTTTCTTTTAGTTAAAATGAGTAAAAAGTGATGAATCTCTTTTGATTATTGCATCAATTTGTCATTTACTTCATATTTTACCTCAGCTCATGATCTTGACATAACGTGATGTTTCTTGGCAAGGAATCATGCTTAATTGATGATCTTATTGTATCTCATATGATAAATTCCTTATTGTATCATATGATAATGTTTTGAAGAAATAAAAAGTTGCTGGCTGTGGGGTTCGAACCCACGCGCACTTATGTGCAGAAGATCTTAAGTCTTCCCCCTTAACCTCTCGGGCAAACCAGCTTGTTTTATGTTTTCATCCATGTTTACAAAGGAATATATTGAGTACTTTAAATGTCACATTTATCAGTTTTCTAAACATAGTTCAATTACTTTTCCTTCGAGTCTTACTAAAGTGATTTTATTCATTCTGTTATTTGGGAGATTTTGAATGGTTCAAGTCTCAAAATATCATTCAAGAGATTTACTTCATGTCTTTTTTTTTTTATTAAGAGCAAATTTCAAGTGGAAGGCCATGTTTGGATACAAAATATTATAAGTCATTTTTGAAAAAAAAACTTAGAAATTTTCTAAGTATGAAAAATCAACTTCTTTTTCTCAACTTTGACTCATTGCAACTTTCACCTCAAGCAACCATTTTGTCTCATTCTTTTTCCCTTACAAAGTTTGTTACCTCATCTTTCTAAAGCTTCAAGAATCAGGCCCTAAGACCCCTTGAGTTGAAAATATCATTGATTTGAATTTGATAACTTGAAACTGAAGTTTCATCACAAGTCAGATTTTGAAATCTTTGTTTTGGCCTCTAATCACATATTTTCCACACGTTTTTGTTTCTAATCATGTTTAGCAACTTCCCAAAGGTGTTTAGCATCACGAAACGCATGATTTAGCTGAGTTTTGATGCTAAACAAGTCACACTTTGTTCATGATGCAGATCCACACGATTTCCCTCCAAATTGCATCATTTCACATGCTTAAGGATCACATTCATTCTCCTATAAATAGAGGATCATCCCTCATTCATTTCTTCAAGCTTAGACAACCAAGATCACCCTGCCAAACTCTCTCTTGAATCCAATTTCCAGCTACTTTGAATTTGCTTTTGCAGCATCCCTCAATCACTTTTCTTTGTCAATTCACCTTCATTGAACTTCCCTGAAGCTTGTTATACAATTACTTTCAACAATCGTGACCTATATTGATCCATAGAAGTCCAATTTTAGAGCTCTGCAACTTAACTTCAATAGGTAGATTCCTTCACCAATTCTGTCAAACTTTAATACTATTGTGAAGCTCTCATCACCCTGGTTCTAGTTGCAACATTTGTTTTTAACTGGAAGCATGTTTTGACCATGAAATTTCAAATTTCTTTTCAAAGCTTTTCTTCCAAATTGCTTTAGCTACAATTTATATAAATTTTTCGCGAAGGCGTGGTTGTCTTCGTCTTGATGAGACGAAGCGAATGGTACCGGTCTCGTGCTCTAATTTTACAGTTTGAGCGACTTGGTTTTGAGATTGGCTGGAGATTGAAGATGACCAACAGGTCATCCTTCAACCAATGAAACAACGTCATTTGGAATTTTTGAATTTCTGATTTTATATTGAATCTTGTGTTTTATTCAGTAATGACCATGATATGCACAGCGCGCCAGATTCCTTGGATTTGATTACTAACGCGTTTTGACTCTCATCCAATGGTCCACATTTTTTTGGCTTTAGTTTTTATTTCTGATTTTTATATTTAATTGTTTTAAATTGCAAAAATTCATAGAAAATTCATTTTAACTCCAAAAAATCTGGAAAAAAATTATGGAAAATACTTTTGATTTTTCTCTTTCTGATTTTTATTTTTTCACGTTATTATTTTGTATTTTGATATTTTTTATAATTTTCCACTTTATTTGAATTATTTTAAATGTTTAAAAATACTTTTATGAATTTTTAAATTCTGAAAAAAAATAGAAAAGGATCCAATGACATTGTGATAAATATTGGTGACCTCATTTATTTTTTATTTCTGACTTTATTATTTTTCACTTTTTTTGTTTATTTTACCTATTTCTTTTAATTTTAAATATAGTTTCTGACTTTAAAAAATTACCAAAAAAATTATAAAAATATTTGAGTTCATTTCTGATTTTTTTCTATGGTATTACTTATTTTTTCTTGATTAATTTGAACATAGTTAACATTTTTCTCTCTTATTTTCATTTTTTATGATTTTTAAAAACCTTTATTTTTAATTGTTAAATACAATTTTTATTTGTGTATATTTTCTGGCTGATTTTGGGTTGAAATTTTGATCATGAACTTTGTTAACATCATTGAATCCATAGTGTTGAGTCTAACTCCATAAAAATGGATGAATGATTTTAATAATAGTTTAATTAAAATTTTGGTTCAAATGTGGTTTGTTCATTCTTTTTCATCCCTCTCCATCTTCCCCCCTTCTTATTATATTACATGTTATGGGATGATGATCTCTATATCATTTATCCAAACATGAACTACATAGATTGCTATTGACTGACCTCAAATTAGGTGTGACTTCTATATAAGTCCACTTACGATTGCTTAACATAGCACTGAATTTTGTCCCGATTTGAAAAAATGATCACTCGTGGCTCAACCTATATTTGCAAGCCCAAGTATGTTAATTTGAACCCTGTAATCCAATAACTTTGAGATCCATTGTTAGGAGGCTTTGGTTCTACCAATCCTCTAATGGAGCTTCATCATTTTTTGTCAAAGTGGATCACTAAAACATCATTAATCATTAAGTTACTGTGAGATTCTTAAAATGGATGATATACTTGACAAAAAGCAAATAAAACTTGTTGTTGAGAGGCTTTGGTTCTACCAATCCTCTAATGAGTTCCAAATGCAAATTTTAAGATGATCATCCCACTAACCACTAATTTCTAACAATTGACTTTATTTTATGCTTTTATTTTTTATGCTTTTACTTTATGTGTCATTTACTTTAGCATCTACATTTCATGTTATTTTCATCTTTGCTCACTTGAGCCTTTATCTTTTATGTCTCTTTTTTATTTTGCTCACTTGAGCTTTTCATTTCTTTTTGAAGATGCTTAATAATCAACATAAACCATAAAAGACATTAATGATACTTGGACTATTTGGTTACTATCCTCGGTGTTATGGAGTATTTGACTTCTTGGACTTAGGATTAGAGACATTGATCTCATGTTGGAGACCTTGTGACCTTTATTGATATTTTGTATAGGGTTCTTGAGGTTTACCTCAAGACATTGGGTTGTTTGTTTGTTTGCTTTGTGTGCAGGTTATTCTGATTACATACTTTGTCTGTAATCTAGAATCCATTTGTATACAGCCGTTACTCTGCCCAATTTTTGTGAAGACTTAATACATTTGAAGTTTGGTCTTCTCAAGAGGTTTAGTATCCTTGCTTGGTTTCAGTCCAAAGAATGTGAATTCTATCTTGACTCATAATGTCAAGTGTTGGCTTCTTGTTGGTTAGATGGGTCTTCTCCCTAGATTTTATCTTATGCTTTAGGATAGTCCCTTCATCTCCTCCCATCTTCTTTAATTTCAAAAATCTTCTCCCTCCTTTTGAAAACTCTTCTTGTTTCTAAACTTGAATCACTTTCATAATAAAACTTGGACTTAGGTCCATGCATTTTCAAAATATTTTCATAAATAAACTTCAATCAACTTAATAATACCTTGACATTTTTGTGAGAAGACTAAAAGTCAATCAATCTCATTCAAACTATTTTACCACTTTGACATTTTACCTTTAAAACTTTTCTCAAAAGATTAGACTCTTGTCAATCCTTGTAGTGATGTAAACAACTATACTTCTACAATATGTAGTGAAGAGAGATATTTTATACTTGGGTGTTGAGTGAGGCATTGTTGTTTTTAAAATCCAAGCCATATCCTCCACTTTGAGATGACGCAAATTCTCCTTTCTCATGATTGTGGGTATTAAGTATGTTTTCCACACGAACAACGACGATGATGTCTTATCTCATAAAATTAATCAACACACTTGTGTTTAAATTTTTTTAAAGAGGAACTATGTGTACCCTGATCCCCTATTGCACGAAAGATGGTAAGTAGGCACTAAAGATTCGCAACCGTGGTGGGTCCAAAAAGCATAAAAGATACTTCTCTTCTCACCTCCACCATCTATTTTTGTACAACATTTTATAGCCAAAATATACAGATTTTTCAAAGAGGTTCCTGCGGAGTACCGTAGATGTTTAGGGTACTAATACCTTCCCTTTGCATAACCAATCCCCTTACCTAGAATCTTTCCCCTTCTTTTTGTGTTATTCGCTCTTTTCCCATTCCTTTGGAAATAATAAAGCACGGTGGAGATATTTATTTTGATCTGTACAAGTCAAGTCAATTAAATGGCTTAGTCTTAACATTTCTATCGCTACAGTATCATGTGAACGAAAATATCGTTTATTGTCTGCGATGAAGAAGAGTATATGGTTAGCCATGTGAACTCTTTCTGGTGTGTAGAGATGGATGGAGAATTCATCGATACTCCCTGTAATACTTTTGAAGTCATCCTTCCTGGCTCAACTGAAGACGTCTCTTCCATTCCCGAAGTTACCAGGGTTCCGCCCATAATGGCTTCCTTGAAAGATGCTAAAGTTGTTGTAGAAGAAAGTGGTTGTACTACTTGGGGTCATCTTTCTGAGATTCCCTATACGTCTGAAAAATTTGGTTTGGGTTTCACTGCAGAGGGTCAGAAGTTTTTTCGTCGCGCTCGTGTTGGAAGACCATCATTTTGCATCAGCAACAACAGAGTTAACGCTATAGAAGA